TGCCATAGAAGGGACCATACACACCACACTAATGATACTGTTGCTCATCTGCTTACTTTGTAACACAGCAGATATAACGCTCACAATTACTGGGTAGAAAATGACCAATAATTGTGTAGCAGCTAATTGTCAGTTCACATTCTGTTCGGCCAGAGAAAGTTTTTCCATTTTGTCATGATAAACACTCGCAAAACATCTAAAAGGAATATTTCAGCATTTGTCTGGAGAGACAAAGATATAAGGTTAAGGTGCTGATAGGTGGTTTCTATACATGTATCTTATCCCTGAGTATTAGTCAGGCTAAAATTATCCAAGCTAAATTAATCTAACCGGATTTCAGATTTTAGATCTAACAAAAAATCTGAATTCAAGTTTATATATATTTGGTTGTATTTGTGGTTTTATTCATAATAAAGTTTATGGTTAAACTAAAAGAAAACTTCTTTGTCATAAGAAATGTATCTGCATCAGCTTTAAAACAGTCTATTGGTCGGGCTCTGTTGAACAGACAAATGAGAAAAGTCTCTCTTGTCTCATTCTCTGCAAGAAAACAATTACATTTCCTAAAGAATTATCTGTCAAGTAGCTGAAAGTCAAGGACCTGAAACAGCTGCTGGAATCAGATCAGAATCTCTGAATTTGATGTTGAATAACCGTGTTTTCTTGAATGTGTTAAAGACCAAAAAATAAGGAAATCAATCTACTGGAGTAAAAAAAAAGCTTCAACTGTGATCTTGCAAACAAGCCAAAATTTTGCAAAACAAGAGAGAGTGAAGTCAATTACAACCCCACCAGTCTTCATTTACAATATTCACAGCCTCACAATCCCACCCACACACATTCACTGCCATTCAGTCAGAACACCGTGCACAGCTCTTCACTACATTACCCAACTTCCACACAAACACACACACATACACTCTCACTCACTCACTGCTTTTAACGCTGAAAGTTTACTTTTGTTACAGGTGCAATAACAAAAGGCCTTTTAAGTCTGACTTGAAAATCTTTAGGAGAAATTGGCTCCAGCATTGAGGGGTTGAGGTATTGATTCTGGCCTCTGGCTCAGTCCAGGAAAAGATGGATAGATTTCTTTGAAATGCACTCTGCGTGAGAATATAAAGACTATTGTGTGTTCTCACTCAGGAATAAATTGTTTCATGACATATCTGGGGCCACCTTTTTTAGCTTCAAGCTGCCTGCTTCTCTTGAAAGGGGGAAGTTGACAGGGTGGAGCACATTCATCCGTACTCCCAGTCTACCCACACCTCATATAAGCTTTTATTGAAAGTTAAATCTCCTTCAGAGAGTTGGCAGCCTCTTGTTGGGATATCTATTTCAGCAGCTGTCGGGGTTGATTATATGGAGGTTGTGCCACACACTGGCAGCGATATAAACCTCCTGCAGAGAGAGGGACCGTTATGATGCTATTGATTGATGCGTTCATCTGCATGCATGTGCACAGGCTCCTGACTCTGAAGAAGTCATTTTCATTGATGGCATGCAACATGTGATTGGTGATGGCTTGGGGCACTCACGACCGTGAAGTCACATTTAAAAGGAGCTTGTGATGCCGTGTAATTCCTCCACAACGAGCTGCTTGAATCTTTACCTCAGTGCAGAGAGAGCAGATCAGTAACAAGTCACAGGCGTTATTGGAGAAGTTCCCAATACTGAAGTCTGATACCGAGGGCCTGGTGTGGAAATCAAAGCGATGCAGATTGATTTATTGCTTGTTCACAGCCTGTTATTCGGCCTTAATGATCAAAATGGTTCAGCCACAGCATCGAATGTTGATGAACTCGACTGATGTTGATGAAAAGTCAGTTCGTCTTTGTCCCTTCTACCTCTGATATCAGATCCTGAGAATATTATTTTCCGAGACATGATTTGACTTGGTTTAGTATCTTTATACATTCTTATTTAGAATTGATGGATACAGTCTGTGCACATACTCTGTACCAGTTATCCAATCGTTATGTATAGAAACCTCGCACACTGACTCTGATGCATTTCATTATTCTTTTAGTTCTGAAAATTCAAAAATATTTGGATGATCTTGTGCTCCTCTCACTTCTTAAAGAAGCATAACATAAGACAACATTGGGTCCATCCAATCCAGAGAAGCCATCAAGAACAAGGAGAATTTTATATTCTTATCGAGGAGCTGCGATATTATCCTGATCACAGGATGTCAGTGGTAAGGCAACACTTGGACTGCACATTAAAGAGCATTGTTCTGTGAGACGAGACGTAAAACACAGCAAATGGACCCAAGATTGAAAACTCTAACATTGGACCAAAAGTCAGTACGTAAAGGTGATTGACACAATGTGAAATTGTATTTATTTTTAGACGTGCGATAAGTTCAGATGAAAAATAAGGACCTTGACTTAAGTCTTTTAGCCGTCTCTGTGTGGACTCACAAGGTCAGACGGCAGGAAGGAAACTGAGCTGTAGAGAAACAACGTGTTTGTTACATATGTTTTGTGTTTTTTGCTTTTTCTTCTGCCTCCGTATGCAACTGGAACTGAAATGTTTTTTTCTTAATTTCTTTTGTATTCAAATTACCTCTGAAACAAGAGAATCATTAATGGAACAGATCAGTTAATGATGTATTTGAAGGGGCTGAAGATTCAAATGGAGACCTCACCCCCCTCATTCCCCTGATTCATTATTAAACACAGAGTTGGCATTTAAAAGAAAAAATAGAGGAATAGGCTCTGCTTTATGCATATTCTTTTTCATGGCTGTTATTTTCCTCCTCAGCACTGGAAATTCTCTCCCACTGATTCAGAATCTATTCTGCTCCTACATCGATTTCAATATCAAACACCAATAAAAGCCACCTTTAGGTCTGTTTGAGCTCCGCCATGCTGTGAGAGGGAGGTGGGCGGCGCGGGGATCTTGGAACTATTGAGTCAAAATATTGATGGAGCGCAGCCAGTCCCTGCAATGCTACAGCCTTAGACTTGTGTTAATGTTCCCTGACTTACATCTCGGGGAAACGCAGACATTTTTATTTATTGAGAGGGGGAAGGTGACTGAGCATGAAGTACAAGCTCTGTTTCAGCGTGGCCCTCCTATGCTTCGAGTTTCACACGAGTCCCTGCAGGGATGTGGAGGAGAACCAAGGCTTCCTACTGGTGAACAGGGTTAAGAGCTTTGCCTAAGAGCATGTTGGTGGTAATTAAAGACGATTTCTCGTCTCCTTACCTAGATTCTCAGCTTGTCGTGGGAACATGTTTTTATCCACCTGTTGCTGCTGCTTCACTTTTAAGCGACACTTAACAGGCTGTGTGTTGAGCTGCTGTGCAGTGGGCGTATCCATTGTTCAGCTTCTTCCACTGAATGATGAACTTGCACCCAGTTATACAATGGCAGTTAACAGCTGTTAAGAATGCTAATGAGCTTAGCATCATAGCTTGAAAAGAAAAAATTGCTTCTGGAGGTAAATATACACCTGTCAGCCTCTACTCGCCTCCACTCTGCCCTTCTTCCATTGGCCCATGGTCCAGATCTGGTGCTCACGGACCCATTCTTCGCGAGTCTGGTGTTGGACATTGGACATTCTTCAGCTTCTTCAAACTTGGGGACTGCTTATGCAGCCGTTCCTTAATCTATCAGATGGAAATATGTCCTGAGCGGCGTTGTTACGGTTAAATTGTTTTCATCATGTTGCATTTAATCTGAACAACCAGGTGCGTCTGAATTATTTGGTATTTTGTGTCATTCACCTCGCTGTTGATGTGAAAAAGGCTTTTAACATTAGTCCACATGGGAAATTGGTCTGTACAGGAAACTGCTAACAATTTGCTTTGATGATGCAATGAATATCTGGACAACCCCTCCACCTGTGATACTTTGACAGTCACTCCCTGTTCTTACCCCTCAAAACCAGGGAAAAAGCAGCAGCAAATATATCATTAGCAGCTGCCCTATGGAGCTGGGTATTAATTATCCTGTGTTCTTCCCGTTTGGCCACTCATTTGCACTTGTACAGTAAATGTCACCAGAGAGATAAATGGGAAAACAAAAACCCCAGCTCGTAGCCTTTATGCAGCAGAATGTCAGAGGGAGTTTGTAAGAGATGAGATATTGGTGTTGGCCTGGCATAGATTCTGGCTCAAAGGACATTCCCAGAGGCAATAAAATATGTAAGCTGTGTCATCTGTGTTTAGACATTTATTAGAAATGTGCAAGCAAACATTTTCAGATTTACTGTTTGGATGCCGCACATCTGTTATTAACATAAAATCAGTGTAATGGCGTATTTGACGCTTCATCACTTTGAACATTGCTTCTCTAAGTGGTCTGCCTCCTCTGAAAATGACCTCCCATCGTGTTCAAGCCACCTTTTGCATTTTTTTCACTCTGCATGAACTCTTTTGCAGCCACATACTGTTCTGACATGCCTTATTTGTAGATTTATGAGTGGAGTGAAAAGCACTTTTGGTTTGGGGGGGAAAAAAAAAAACCCCAGCTCAACTCTCATATTCTCGGTGTGGCCTTTAAGGTGCGAGGAATAAAGGGGTATTTGTATTAATCGATCACACGCCAGGCCTTGTTGAAGGCTGGCCTTAATGGTTGCTTGCTGTCATTTTGCAAGCAGCTTGTAGAAAGGATTAGAGTTGCTCTGCGGAGTAAAGGCGCATGAACGGCAAAGTTCTGTGGCCGCCGAGGAAAATAAATCAATTTATCTCTGATGGTGGTGCAGTTTGGGAACATAATGCCTAACGATGATGGAGTTTGGACACTTCATACTTGTCATTGTGAAATTGGACTGCCGTGTTGCTAATGATGGTAATGTATGTTGTGCCTCGCCTACTACAGTAATCCTTCACTCTGTCTCACTTAAATGCATCTCATTGTCTGGCATATTGCATTATGAATACCACTGGGGCAAAAAAAAAATGGGGAGTTTAATTTATTCATTCATTTGAGCATCAAGTTAATGGAAAAACTGTATAACCATATAAATTTCTTCCTTTTTGTCACAGGCGATTGTAACTTTGAGAATCCGCTGGCAGCGTGCGGGTACAGCCAAGGCAGAGACGATGACCTTGACTGGGAGCAGAGCAACACCAGAGAGAAACCTTCATCAGATCCATGGCTGCCCTCAGGTGAGGATGGTGACACTCGCACGGCTCAGTGAAGAGGAGAATGATGATTGTGAAACCACACAGAGAATTCATCAGTGCACCGGTCTGGATATTTGAAGTGGTCTGTTTTATCAAAGGGGCAAAATTCTGCCCCGAACAAAAATTAGTTTAACATAAATTTGTTTTATTTCCAAAATGGGAAGGACATGTTTGTATATATGGAACCTTTCAAAACAGCTGTGTCAGCGTGATTGACAAAATGAAGATAAGTCACAATATATAATTTAAAATTAATAAACAGTCTGAAGTGTTTGGATAATAATAAATGTTGATTACAGTACATTTATTCATGTACTAGTATTTATTAATATTTAGTTTTGTTAAAGAAGACGTATCTGTCCATATACGAGTTAATGTCAATATAAATGAATAATAAATGATGATTTAAATCTTTAGTTTTCACAGCAAATCAAAACGTAATTCCCAGACATGTGTCCCTGGCTAACGCTGTTCTCTTGTGGGATGTTGATACAACTTCTCTGAACGTCAATATCTGAATGGGGACGGACACGAGACAAAAGCGACATTTGATACCAAAATGCTCCATTTTAATTAAAGGAGTCTTCCCATCAGCCCCGTATTGAAATTCATTAAAATGCTTTCCCTGCACACAGTTTGTCTCTTTAATGTTCCATTGATCGCTTTTCGTTTGATTTGAAATGCAGAGATATCACCGCCACCGCCGCTGAGCACACAGCACCTAAGGAATTAGACTAATGGAATTACGCTTTTCTTTTTTGTTTCACTTTATAACAAAGGTAGCGTCGCAAACTAATGGATATTGTTTTCCTCTCCTATCTGACGCCTAATCTCACAAAGGCTGCCTCACAGATAGATTGCACTGGGCACCCCCAGTGACAGAGGGGGAATTAATTAGCAGGCCCTCACTAATTTTAAGCAGCCAGTGCCCAGACCTGTTTGTGTGTACATCAGCATGATGTGTGTTGAGCCGCTCCGGAGAAATTGCTTTCCACTTTTTTTTTTCCCATCGCAATTGATTAATGTGGAGACACATGGAGGCCAGGCAAAGGTCACAGTGAAATCTGGGAAAGCCTTGACCTACAAATTAACACACGGTATAAATTTAACATATCTGATTAAAATCCCATGTCTCGTTAAGAGGCGTCCCTGATTGTGCTTCCCGGTCTGAGTGCACTTCACGTGGGCCTGTTTTCTACCTTTGTGTCTTGAATTGGGCGTAATTAACAGGTTGCAGCTCTTTCTCCATTTCTCAACGCGAGCACTCAACCTGCCACACGAATCTGTAATCTCTCCTCTTTGACCGCATTGAAGAGGGATGTGAAATGTAGAGTGCTTGACGGCTGAAATTGTTTTAGGGCTACTAGAGCGAGGGTTGATGGGTAGAAATGCATTTAGGTGAAAGCCACAATGGTGAAGAAGCTATCTCACCTTTGATAGCCGTTCCACTCTCAACCTGTACTTACAAATCTCCACAGAACGACCTTATCATGCTCGCCGAGCAGATTGTTATCCTGCCCGGTGTTCTGGGATGGAAATGAAATGTAAGTAGGCTCCAAACAGACGGCGTTACTACCTCAAACATCTTTTAAAATGGCTTGTAGATTGTATCTGTCCACATAGGGTACGAGGGTCCTTCATGTTAAACGATCGATTAAACCCAGCTGCATTTTTATTAGTAGAACTGTAAACTCCGAGCCTCTGTCCCTATAAGAGCTACATCTGCATTCAGGAAGCGTTTGGACCGTTTCACTTTCGTCACAATGGATCCAGTTATTCATGAGTGCAAAGCTTGTCGGGTCAAACCCAAGAAGACTTGAGGTTATAATCACTGTCAAAGGTGCTTTAAACAAGTAAATGAATTTGATATTTCAAGCACTTTATGATGGGGTTTTATACAGTTGAGCCAAAACAAGTGGGAGATTTTCTAGATTAAAGTCTCAATATTATAAGAATAAAGTCATTATTTTAGGAAACTTGTTAAGTTATACTTTCATATAGGTCTCACAAATGATATAATATTCAACATTTTTGCTCATCTGCATCATATTATCAAAAGTATCAGGACTTTGAATAGTTTGTGTGAGAAACTTTGTCTATTCTGAAGAAAGAAACACACAGACTTGCAAGAAACTTGTAAAATTACGACTTAATTCTCATAAAGTATCTTCTAAATTCCGACTTGATTCTCGTAATGACTGTATTCCCAACTCGGTTAATTCTGTTGAAGTTACTGATGCAGGAGAAAATGAGTTTGAATTCATGTAAATGTAACAAAGCCTACAATTAATGTTTGTCTGCTTTTTTAACAATAACCTCAAACTGTTCTAGTCGTACCCTGACATTATACTTTGCCCTTGATTTACTGCCACAGCAGCAATCATGCCCGTCCATAACCGTATGGTAACAGCTGTCACAGCTGGTGGTCAAAAATCCTGTCAATGTCTTTAGACTGATTGTGGTGTTAACTCTTCCTTATGAGCAGAGAAAACTATTTACAAATCTTTGCTAGATCAAATATATGTTTTATTATTAATATTAATATTGTTTTATTGACCAGCTCTAGTATTCCTCTTTTCATTAGAAGTAAAAATAATAATAATTTGGACCTGAAATCCACGCTCTCTGTTGACTGCCTGCAAAAACCTGCTGGAATCAGTGGGCGACATCCTTAATTAACATGCTGGATCAGTGTGGTAAGTGTAGAGAATGCATTCATGAGAGGCCCCGAGCAGAGTTTAATGGAAAACGGAAAAAATGAAATGAAACGCGACCAAACAAGCCCTCTGATCACACGCAGAAGAGAGGCGAGGGCCTGAAACCCTGGGTTGTTTACGATGATCCGCTCCCTACCTAATTGCTACGTCTGGACGGCGAGTAGCCTTGTTTATGCCTCTGCGCGGCTCTGATTGCATGCTTTGGCTCCTTGAGGGTGGCTCAACCCAGTTCTGAGGCTCCGCACGTCGGCTTGGACACTTCCCAGCGTGTTCCTGCTCCAAAGCCAACTGGAGAAACCCCTGGCAGGACTGTCACCATCAGTCGCGTTCTGACCAACAAGCCTCCTCTGCCCTGGACCGTGATAATAAAAGCGTCTGAGCCAGGACGACACTCGAGGGAGCTGGACGCGGTTCTGTCAGACTCAGATGACGCTTGTGATACCATGAGAGATAAAAGCACCCAAATCTAATTTTGGTCCTAAAACAGTGATTCCTCTAGTTTCCCCCCTCTGTTGTTATTTGTTATTAAGTTGGTGCATTGGTCTCGGAGAGGAATGGATGAAGCTGACTGGGTGGGGAAGTTTGCAGTGTGGTGTCCAGATGCCATTAAGAAGAGGGCTGTTTTTAGTGAGCCCCAGCTGGTGCAGAGGCTGCCTCCTCTCTGATGGTGTCATGGATGTTGCCAGCCGTCGGCTGCTGCTCCCATGCTCTGTCCCCTGAGACTCGTTCCGGGGAATAATAGCAAGAGGAGGAGGAGGAGAGGAGGAGGTCCTCTAACTGAGATTAATTAGGGTTTTTGTATTATGCAAGGAACAATAGCAAACGCAGCTCAGGCTAAATGACTTATTGTTTTATTCTTAATGTCTGCTCTAAATATGTTGCGGTGGAGAAATTGAATGTTTTTGTCTCACTGTAGCTCGGGGTCTTTGTTTTGATGGCGTGCCCTTGGTCGATAATGACACTGAGACAATGGTGAAGGATTGGCAGAATACGGTTCTTCACAGTGCGCCGGTGATCTTCTCCCTCCTGGTTCTTTCTTGTCAGGTTCATAATACGTTCATGCAAATGCGGCTCACTCCTGAACCCAGGCGGGGGCCTCGCTCAGAGCGTGGCTGCTGCATATGGATAAGACGGATCATTCTAAAAGGCAAACTGTTCACCTTTGCATTACCTGGACGACCAGCGCTGTTTACGGCGCCGTGCGAATGAAAGAGGCGACGGCCACAGCCACTTAAAATACGCGAAGGAGAGAACACCCACCAACTGAAGGACGTGAGAAATTAAATCAGAATTTAAATCACATCAGCAAAAGATAGGATTTGCGGTTGAGGAGGGGGGGGGGGCACTGTGTTGTAAAAATAAGCTAATTGCTTTTGAGCCATTCGTAATTTTGTATGAAAATCAAAGCGTGCTCGGTGAAGGTTATGTGGTAAAGGAGAAACCCTGTTAATACGATCAGGGGACAAAACAGAACAACAAATTACAATGTCTGATCAATCCCTGAATAAATTCCTGGGGATGAATTTCATTTCAGCATGTTTGAACTTGTGAGCAAACTGGATTGCACCTTTTACTCTAGAGAGGATCATCTGTTCTGTTGATGGAGGACATATTTGCAAACTATCTTTTGACGTTAGCGTGCATGCTATGTACGATAAAGGCTGATGATGCAGCGAGGTGGCTATTGTGGAAACTCTGTGGTGTAATGGGTTTGTATCAGGCCATTACATGACCCATTTATTGCAGCGGAGCGCCAGCAGTGTGCGGCGTATTAAAATGACATATTAAGCCATTAAGAATTGCTGTTGATTGACACGCGGCAACAAAGGATGCTGCTGGGGAACATAATAAGGGTCAGCGTTTCCACCTGACTGAAATGACATGTTGCGCATGATGGATGGTTTGAGGTGAATCTATTTGACACCGTCAAAGAAACCTGCCAGGTCCTTCATATGGAGAGCTCCAACTTATTCAGTGTTATTCTATCAGGCCCCCCTTTCATGTTTCAGAGGACACAGCAAAAGTTCTGGAAAATTGAGCCGAGGCCACCGATGTTCACATTAACAGCCTCACCCTCACAGCGAGAGCATTTTTGATTGGTGGCAGACGGAGAGAATAGCCCTGTCTTCATTGACATTTCCAAGGCAGCAGCCGCGCTTTTCTGCGGCGGTGACCTCTGTGAATTTTATTAGCAAATGAGACCTTGAGGGTTTGGGTTTAAAGAGCGCCCCTTCCTTCTGATTTCCCCGCTCATAATGATTTTCA